GTGATATATTTCAATCTCATTTGTTCCTCTTCAGACTCTTCACTAGTAGTGAATATTACTTCTTTTTCTGAAGCCACGGAACAGTGTTGTTGGTGCTCTTCTGTGTTATCTAATGGTTACCCAACCTAACATGTATTTGTTTGAGTGGTCAGAGTTAATTTATACCCCTAAAAATGGCACTTGAGTTAAGACTAGAAGCAGAATAGAAGGTATTCGGTTAAAATCAAAGGGTTCGGCTAACACCCCTTGAATGTCAAAGTCATTCTTAAAAGTAATCCGGAACATTGAAACATGGGATAACCTAATGAGATTTTAGATTATGCTTTTAAGAAAAGTGAAACAATTGATGTGTACTGTGGACAACAAAATAGTTGTTGTTACTGAATAAAAATAAGAAGGTTTAAACGTCTTGCCCAGTGTCTCTGTCATCTCTCCTTTATTTTTCATCTTCCAAAATGCTCTTAGGGTTTCCTGCTATGTCACAGAAATTAAAGTAATGTGTCCTGTAGATGTGTTCAAATCTCACGATCTGAAATGGGTCTCCTCACTTGCAAGTTTGAGCAGAATGCCTGGCAGGTGATTCTCAAGTCTGAACTTTGAGAAAAACTGGGAAAGAAATTTAATTTGCTTATAGAGTGTTGAAGACTTCTTATACTGAATTCTGTGGTCATTTTTATTGGGCACTTTTCCCCACTCCATAGTCAAACAGGACCACCTACTCACTCACAGTGTAGTCTAGTCCAGTCCATGTCTGGTCCTTCCCCCTAGGAAAGCTGACTCTCTTCTCTCCCTGTCTCTCATTACCAAGTCCAAAGCCTAACCTCTCTTCTTCCATGTGACTTCTGTATGTTTTCCACAGTGGTCTACTGTCACAGATGTCTCTTGTTGCATATATGTGGCACTCAGGGTTTCTCTTCGTTGCCTGCGATTCATGTATGATTCTTCTCTTTGTCCCTCACATTGTCTTATGCAGCCAACATTCTACAAACGTGGTTGAACGAGGAAATATATAATAAGGTCAACAGCAAGCCAAAGCTTGCACTTTAACCCCACATGAGGGAGGTCATGTTGCTCTAGCTGCTAATTGGATGTTCCTTATTTAGGTGAATACAATAAAAGCTAATGTTTGACATTGATTTGAATGTATTAACTGCATCTTTAAATCTCAGAATGTTCAGTGCTTGAGGAAGTTAATCTGCACTCAAGTTAGAGTTTACAGATATGATTTGAAATTTATCTTATAAAACAGTACTGGTATACCCTTGTCATTCTATCTTGCTAAAGACCTAGCTTGCTTAACTCTAACTCAGTTTTCTTCAAAGAAGATTATTTTAATGTTCAGAATAATTCATCAGTAGTTACAAGCTTACACTGTATTAAGGACATTGCAATAAATGACACAGGAACAGAATCTTTTAAGTATTTTTAATCCCTGAACTTTGTTTTTAGTGCCTAGAGCGAAGTTACATGATGTGTGCTGACATGAAAAGAATTTGGCAATGGATTTATAAAACATTTGAGAGGTTGTTCATGTGACTGAAAATAATACTGAGACTGCAAAATTAAATTATATTGACCAGTGTTTGTAAGGCTGACTTAAGAAAGAAAACTCTCTTTATTTGAGGAAGACAAAGCCCATGAGGGAGACATCCCCCAATGAGATTTCCAGGCCCCGGAATCATTACATCATCTAGTTCCTCCCTTATTTTTAAAGATAAGTCACCTTGGAGGAATGGAAGCAATTTATTAATTTGTCATTTACCGGGAAAGAAATTATCTGGAAGAAGAAAGCCCATATGCTGGCCGCAGTCTCCTTTCTTTAAAGCTAGGGTGTCTTTTGCCACGTTAGTGTCCTGTAGCGTGCTTGGGAAGGAGCAGGTGTGAGCTTCCAAAGTGTCTTTACAAGTGTCTCCGTGGGGCTCCCCTCCCTTGCCTCTGCAGGACACAGCCCACCTGTTTAATCCCTATGTTTCATTCAACCTTTCTTATTATGCCGCAGAGCTCTGAGGCTCAGCTGGATTTTGACTCTGGGAATGAATTGATGCAGCTCTTTGATCTTAGCTGTGTACTGCATCTGTTTCATCTTTCTTCCTTCCAAACTCCGATTCTAGCTAGGAGTCCTCAAGTAAGCCCATAATAATGCAAGCAAACAAAAATTGTTATTTAAAACTCACAAAAAAAAACCATTTTTTTAAAACTTCTTTGTGGCATGATGAGCTTCCTAGAAAAGAAAAGGAAAAAAAACCACAATTAACTACTCTGGACAAGACTATCAGATTTGAGAATATTCAGGTATCAACTAATATGTATGTATCTGATGGAGTAAGGTCAAATGCAAAGAAAATGACAATTATCAGTCTTTGCAGTTTTGTAAGTTGGTATAATAGCATAAAAACTTATTAATAGACCATATTGTGTGGGGGGGGAGCAGAACCTACTTTGAGATTCTACCAAAACTTATCAAAAACATCATTTTTTTTATGAGAATGAGGAAATCTGGGTTCCAGAGAAAATAAGAACAAATTATATAGAGAAATCAGTTTCTGGATCAGATGCCATTTAAAAAAATCTTTAAGATGTAATATGTATGCTCTGGTATGAAGCAGAAATAGAGACATACTGAGAAAAGAGTTATTTAGAATTATTTGGTCGTTTGTTTTTAGCCATGCCCCTGAAAGCACACAGAGTGATGGCTAATTGAACTCTAAGTTGTCAAGTTTTGATGTGAATTACTTTGATATTGATCAAGCATTCGGGAGACTTGTTATTTTTACTTTTAATTCTCAAGGGTCTTCAATTTTAAGTATTCCATGATCTTGTGATGATATCGTAATGTCAAAGCTGTCAGAATAATTCCAACCAAGCAAGGAATTGATGTCTCCTAAAAGCCAGAGGCCTTCAAGAGTTTTGCAAATGTTTCTTGGAGAGGAAGATGGGGACATAGCTGTCTGCTGTGTCTGTTCTGTTTAGCACAGATTTTATTCAAACATATGTAAACTACATCTACGAATAGCACTTAGTGGATTGTCAGAATAAATGCTTTTCTCAGATACACCGAAAGATTAAATAATATATATAAAGAATAGGTTCATCATTGTAATTACAATATTGTTTATATAGCATGCTCCGTTGTGGTCCCCCCTGGAGCTCCTGTGAGATATCCATCTCTGAACTCTGATTTTTCAAGGCTAATTTTGTTTCTCCTATGGAGGCTTAGAATAACTCCGCAGGAAAGAGATGGGAATGGTGGCCCAACCTTTCTGTAGCACAACTGCTCAGAGCCCCATACCAAAGATAAGCTTCACTCTTCTATCTATACGATGTCTAGCTTGCTACCCACTGGGATACAGTTTTATTTACCTAGCCAGTTAGCATTTCAACTCAAGAGAGAAGACCTAGAACCCAGCCGAGCATAGACGGGTTGTTTCGGTGTGTTTCACTTGGTTTCCTTCACCTTTGCTTGCTTGCTTTCATAACTTACACACCTACCTGATTTCTATGCTTTTCTAATAGTGGGTTAAAATGCCCATACTCTAGCCTGTGGAGATTCTCTGCTATGTGGACTTCTTTAAAGGCCTTATTTGGCCTTTCCTACATGAAATAGGTCAAGACAGATGAAAATGATTTGGTTTTGTGTTTGTGCCTTCTTGTGATTTTTATGTTTCTGGAAGTGTGTTGGAGTGGTGGTGGTGGCCATGGAGACCATTGATGCAATGCTTCGGGGACCGTAACTTTTCACCTTGGAGTTTGTCTTCAGACCGCTGACCGTGCTGTCTGTCGGCGCGTGTGCTTACCAGTTCTCCTACTTCATTCCTCACTTGCTTTCCTATTAGTTCCTAGTGGCATCTGAGCAGGGAAAGTTGACCCCTATCACTCCAGGTCTCCATGTTATTCTTTTGAATTTATCTCCAGAGAATGTGTAGAGAGACCAGTTGTTGAGATGGAGACATAGTTTCTCCCGAAGGAGTTTTCTCCCGATGCCCTTGCATAGACTCCCTGGCTGTTCCTTTCTATCACTTTCGCATTGTAGCTCTAGCCTAACTCCTTGAACATCTTTGCCTCATGAACTGGCAGAAGACCAGGTTCGGGTCCCAGAGTCTGCTGAGTGACTGTCCTTTTTAGGACCGTGAGCATGAACAGCCAGTTAAAAGGCCATGATGAGGAGACTGGGGAAGACAACTCAATTGGTAACTACCTGCGACATAATCACGAGGGCTGGAATTCAGGTCCCAGCACCCACATACATGTCTGGTGGCTATGAAGACCTACTTGTATTCCTGGTGCTCAGAAAGCAGAGACAGGGGATCCCTGGGAGCAGACTGGCTGGGTAGATTACCTGAAGTGGTGAGCTCTGGGATCAAACAACAGACCCCACCTCAATATATAAGGTAGAGAAATCAATCAAGGCACCTGATATCCATTGCTGACCTCTCTACACGTGCAAACACCTACCTCCACCCATAAACATTCATATAGATTTGTACGCAGCACACACACAGCACAGGACTGAATTTTATATCCTTTTGTAAGATTTTACCTGAATGCTAGAGTTGTAAATTCAGACTATTATTTCCCCATTCTCTTTTTAAAACAATTATCCTCAAGGAATTCAAGGGAATTAGCTCTTGGCAAAAATAAATAATCATTGAAGCTCAGCAGATGCTTCCAGAATTATTACAAACTATGCCATATCCGCTTACAATGGTCTTATTGATTAAACTATTTAGCTCTAGGTAGCTATATAAGGAAAAGACATGAATATTTAGTTGCACAAGAGAAGTTTCTTGAAAGGATTGTGTTAATACCATATTTTGTTATTGGGCCAAACAGGATGAATATAATCTATAACTGTCTTCCTGTGTTACAAGAAAGAAAATAGATCTAGGTTAAAAGAAAATGTGTCTTTACTTAAAAAAAAAAAAAAACACTTGGAAGATGTGACCCTTCTTTTCATTAGGAATTACATCATCATTTCTTTTTCCTTCCTTTGCATCTTCCAGGAGCTGCCATGAGGAATAAACTAAAAATCATGCTTTTATTGCACAATTGTGTTGAATCTCAAGACTGGAAATGATGAAATTCTGCTCAGCAAGGTAAGTGAGAAAGGAGAAAAATGATATTCTTTGGTTTTGCATGAGTTTATACGTTAATGTTCCCATGCTTGTTATCAGGCATGCCATTCATATATTCTGTACTGTCCAAAGTAGACTATAGCTTTGGTATTCCGTGGCCACCAGCCAGGGTATCTGCCATCACCAGAGAGCTTGGTAGAAATGAAGAATGTCAAGCTCTAGCCAAAACTACTGAGTCAGAATCCATACCTTACTGATACTCACAGGACTTCCCATTGCCACTTAAATTTGAGAATAGGTATAGGGAATAGGCACTGCCACTGGCCACATGGGAATATATCCATTTGTTGGATAAAATTTTCTCTGAGTGAAAAGCTAAAAGCAAGAGCACTTCTTCATACTCTATAGTTGGCGCTCTCTACCCACTACTGTTGAGAATGCATCGGAAGGAATGTGCTCATGCTGTGGATGAGACCACCCTTTAGTTAGTAAGTATCTTCAGGTGTTGGCCATATCATCTAGCCTCTGAACGAATGCATTTAGCAATGGCCTTTCTCCTTTAAGTCAGGTGCGTGTTTTACAATGAGGTAACTGAAGCCATGGGCTACCCAAGACCATTGCCCCTTTCCAATTTAGGTATTCTAATGGCTAGCACCAGCTAGTCCCAAGACAGGTTAACAATGATAGTTGCACCTTTAAAAATTAAAAAACACATTCTTTTCGTATGTGGGGGAAATGTGACTCTTGATAGACTCTTAGCTAACACCAGGGGTCCTTGAGATGATATTTGTAATGAGCATTACATTATTGGATTTGTATACTTGGGATGTCAAGGAATGCCTTGGCTTTTAAAACTCATGTCCAACTATAGGCTATCACTTCACACTTTATTACAGTCAGGGAACCTGTGCTAAGTGGCTTCATTTGCCACAGCAGAAGGCCTAAACGCCACGTTCCTCTGTCATCTAGAGGTCTGGATGTCTCTCTCTCTCTCTCTCTCTCTCTCTCTCTCTCTCTCATAACAAACATTTGTATTTCCGTGCATGAGAAGCGAGCGCCTTACTTGATATGAATCTAGACTTGGATGAAATATGGGAATTTAGTTCGAATCCCTCCCTCTGAATGAGATCTTGTTGAAGGAAGGCGTTCTTGGGTAGAGAAGACGCTGCAGGACAGAGATGAGGCTGCAGGCAGGTCATCATTCTGACATTGGGTAGATGAAGAAAACAACTCATGCTACAAATGGCATTGGAAGCCGTGTGGAGATGAGGATTGTCAGCAGGAAGTAGTGAGGTCTTGTGGCACGGCTGGACAGAAAAGGCTCTGTGGTCTCCCTGCTCATCACCCAGGCACACAAAAGCTGTAATGACCATTCCTAGCTGTGGGACAGTGGTAACTTATAGAATTATTTTTACAAAAACTGAAATCAACTACCCATTCAAGCAAGAACAACAAACTTTCTTTTATTAACTTTTTATCGGTTCTTTGTGCATTTCACTTATATATCCTAACCAGTTCATCTCGCTGTCCCTCAAAATCCACCCTCCACCCTTGCAACCTCTGCTCCCAAACCGTTTCTTTACAAAGTCCTTATATGTGTTGATTTTTATAAAAGCCCTGCAAGTATGTGTGTATGCGACTATAATATATTATCACAAGGTATGTGCATGCAAGTATATATCTGAAATTTGTACAGCTGGAAATTATATACTGTGAAAAGAAATTCTTTTTATTCCAAGACCTTTTCCTATTAAGGCATCCATCATGAGAAACTCCTGGCATAATATTTACAGATCATCTCCCAGCATATAAATTAAATATAATATTCTTATCCTATAGAAGAGTGATTTCCAACATATATGGTTCTATGCCTTTCTTTGCTTAAAATGAGTCATAGGGAACACTTCATCCCAAAACTTCTCCACTTATTCTAGTAACTTCATGACATCATTATAGTACTTCTTCTTCTATTACAAATAGTGCTACATCTAGGATCTTTTTCATGCATCATCAATCATATGTAAACACATGTAGATGTATTGCATGTATTACATATACACATGCCATACACACACACATACACACACGCACACTCATATGTGTGTGTGTGTGTGTGTGTGTGTGTTTGTGTGTGTGCATGGCATCACTATGTATGTAGCCCCAGGTTTTCACATTCAAAGCCCTTATTTGTTTTGACTGAAATGAGTTAAACGACAGCAAATAACTAACCAATTAGCCTAGAAGGCAGAGCAATAATAATTGGCAACATCGTTTACCATGTGGTACTTTGCAATCACACCTTTAATTCTTACTCCTCGTTGAGGTGGATGCTAACACTCGTTGTTGTGATTTATCAGTGGAGAAAAGCCGGGCCTTGAGTCCACTCAGGAAGCTTGACTCTGGAGCCTATGCTGTCCTTCAAAAAGCGTGTTAGTTCCCAATGATTCTGTTGCTGCTGTGCTAGCGATGGGGCACTTATTAGGCACCGACTGTATGATCAGCAGCTGGCATGTAGTATGAGCCACCTCTGTCAGGGTATTACAGTATGTTATTGTTGTCTAAGAGTCCTAATGAGGTTTAATCATTTTCTCAAGGTCTCTGAGATAATAAGTTAAGACCTAAGAACAGAAAGGAGACAGGGCATCAGACGCCGGAGACTAAGGCAAGCAGAGGAGGGGATTCCGGGCATTCGCTTACATGCTTGATGTTCTGGAAGGCAGAAATCAAATTTAAATACATGTGAGATATAATTAAACCTATTCAAGCCACGAGAGGGCTGGGTAGGAAAAGCCGTCCCATGAGTCGGAGGAAGAGGATTCAGGGCACACTGGCAAGAGCATCCACAGCAGAGTCAAGCTCGGTGGTCTTTGTGGACGCCAAGAGAGTATTTTCAAAAGGAGATTTGACTGGTCCTCATTGATTGGTTCAACCTTTAAAACATCCCACGACCATGTGTCATGTCTATATAACAATAGCCTTATCATGATAAGGGGCACAAGTTGGCTCTGCTCCAAATCAGGCTTTGTGGCCATGGGCAGCAGAATTGAGCAAATGTCAAACTAGGTAATGAGCATCCCAGGCAAAGCCAGAGCCTGGGGCTTCTCCCGTTGCGACCCACTCTCTGTCACATCCTTGGTGTAACCGCCATGTTTCTGGAAATTGTCACGGTGAATTCAGTCCTATGTAGTTCTTTGAAGGTAACTTGTGTATCTGATAACATGTATTCTAGGTGCAGTTATAATTTGTGACTGATATTTTGAGTATTGGGGGCTTTTATTAGTATTCGTATTGTTGATTTTTTTGTTACGTTTTGCAAGTTTTGCAGTCTTGGTCGTATCTGTGTGTGGCCTTTTGCGCTGAAGTTACCACACTTTCCTTGTTTCAAAATGCCTCATTTACCTTCATGGATATTGGATAATGACTGATAGAAAATTTGGAAACATGAAATAATTTTTACACGGTAATTATAATAAGAGAAATAATTGAGCTATGTAATGCAGTTCAGGACGTATGCAAGGGATTGTACGTGTATTATCTGCTCTAATACCAATTTCCTGCCGTGTACTCGACCCGATTACTATGCTGTTTGGTAGCTGAGGTCTTCTGCTGTTGAGAATGAGGAGTCACGATGCCGAAAGGGGCAAGGCTTTCTCATACACCGCAGCCTACGCGATGTTCCATGCCCACCCGTTCTGGGCCTGTGAATTCAGCTACCCAGGGGTAGAAATAGTCAGAGAAAAGGTCATGGTGTCAGAATGAGAGACATACAGACATTTTATATGGCTGTATTAATCACCTTTGGTATAATTTAGAGTATAGAGGAGTGTTACAGGGGACATATGTCAACACTGACTTGACCAATGCCGCACCATGAAGAATGGCTAAGATTTCTACCCAGCATTGCCCCTTCTAGACTTTTCAGTATCATCATAAGAAGTTAGTGTTCATCTTTAAAAAGGCAATTTTCTAGTCTTTCTCATAATCACATCCTGTTTATGTATGAGCAAATGCCAAAATTTATTTATTAATTAATAATTAATTTCTTTCTTTAGAGACATAAAATTCATTCCATTTCTCTTATTGGCTCTACAGCCATAAAAAATAAAACCCTGAAATTCTTTAAATTTGCTAAGAGAAAAATCTTTTGAGTCTGAGTCAAGATCTTTTACATAAATTGTAACGTCCTGAATTGGAATCATTTCATGGGAGAATTGTTGATGCACTTGGCATTATTTTTAAAATGCCTATTTCAGGCCCCCCCTTTGGAATTAAGTCTTTCTATTAATTTAAAAATATATTTAAAAATAAATATATGAATAGTTAATGTACGTTTATCAATATATCAATACGGGGCCTAAGGAGTGGAGTTTTGCATCCCTAAGATATATGCATAGACCAGGTAGCCACTCCTCATCCAAGTGTATAACTTGAGTTAGCCCTGTGCTAAGGCCTCGAGTAGCTGCCAAAGCTGCTGTAGTGAGCACGGTCAGAAGAGCTCACTTCCAAGCAAAGCTTATTGAAACTGATCATCAAAGCTGTTCTCCTTGAAACTGAGCCATGACAGACAAACTTCCATCCCCTGACATTTCCAGCATCTTTGTTCTTTTGCCTTCTATGATTCATTTTCTTTAAATGCCAGCCTCAAGAGATCAAGGTTAAAGATTATATTGCTCTCAAGAAGAAGCCTAGATCAACATAGACATGAATATATACATAAATTTTAAAAATTTCTGAAACCTTCTTATCTAATTCTGATGAGATTTTGAAACCCCCCCCCTTACACACACACACAGAGGAAGAAAGAGGGGGGAGAGAGAGAGAGAGAGAGAGAGAGAGAGAGAGAGAGAGAGAGAGAGAGAGAGAGAGAGAGAGAGAGAGAGA